AATCAGAGTTGAAGCACTTTACAGGAGCCAAAAACCATTATGGTTCTTTCCAATATATTGTTAAAAGGTTACTGCTTCTAGTATTCATCATTTGAAGCATTTAACATTTGAGGCTTAAATTTGACCCTGATCTTGATCCACTGATTAATGTGAATAAAAGTAAGCCAATATATATGACTCGGGAGGGAATTCACTATGACCGAAAGCAATGTTTATTTGTTTAAGCACCCGGGACACTGAAGGATCAGGTAATGGTGCGAAAACAGCCACGAAATTTGTGTTTTGTGGAATTTTCTAAAAGCAATACTGGATCGTGTCAGTTGGTTTTGAGTGCTATGTGTGGTTAAACTGTATTTTGGGTGCTTATTTTAAATTTTTTTTTTTTTTTTTTTTTTTCAGTGAATTCACCCCTCAATTTTTTTGGCAGGTTCTAGTTTTTACATTTTTGAGGCTTAGTACACAAGTTCACATACACAAACAATATACACACACAGTTTTGAAGTCTATTATTAAAGTTCCTATCTCTGGAAACTTCGTAGAAATTTTAAAGTTTCTTAGCAACATCCTTCAGAATAATATTAAAAAAAAAAAAAAAAAAGCTAAAAAGATGGTAGCACAGCTGGGTGGAGATTCATTTCTAAAGACGAACTCATAAACAGACAAAAAAACAACATTTAAAATAATTTCTTTGCATGAACGTCTGGAATAAATTGGGGTCAAATCAGTAAGGCATTAGTAAAGCTAATCGCAATATTCAAAAAGTTCTCCAAGGACAGAAGTTCTCAATTTCTCTGAATGTTTTTATAATTATCAATGACGGTTTGTTGAAACCTTTTCTACGTCCTGGCCGGAGCAGGTAGGCCTACTGTTCAAATGTCGGTGGGCTTTAAACCTGCAGTTAGCTGAATAAACAAGCAAGGGGCCAGAAGACTTTCGCAGTATAAAAGAGCGCATCATCTCGAGAAGTTGAAATCCGTTCACGATTAAAAAATTCTGTGCGCACTCGCAAGATGCTAAAAAGGTAGCGTCAAATGCATGTTTACATAGAAAAGCAAATTAGAAGCAATGCAGTGGAACATGAACGAGTGTTTTGAGTGAAACTCTAAGTCTTTTTTTGGAGTACATTTGACAAGAAAATAATATTTCAGTCTTTCTAGTCAAGAAAAATGACATTTAAATGTGCAGTAAGTGATTTTTGATAAATTTCTGTTGAAAAGTGGATTGCGACACACTTGTAACCAATCAGCATTAAGGGGCGTGTCCACATGATGGGGGAGGAGAGAGATCACAGTGCGCAAGATGGACATTAGTGAACAACTATAGGAAGAGAGAAATGGCAGAGAAAATACAAAAGAGGATAAGGCGGGGCAAATATAACTTTAAATATAATGGTTACGATCAGGCAAGAGGTAGGACCCGCGTTAATATGGAAAAAGTGTATCAGCGCAGGAGAGACACGAAGCAGGAACTGGGAAGGTCTGAAAACCAGTTATTTCACCGCAGAAATGTTTTGAAAATATGGACGAAGGTACTAAATACGGAGACGGATGCATTATGGAGGATTGGGATTACACATCTTTTTTGGAAGCTAAGCTAAGCTAGCAGGCAGTTGTCCTGTGGAGAAAGCCGAGTTGTAGCTTTAGGTGTTACCATCCTCTTTTTCCTGGATATGTCCAGCCATCGATGTCCGGGATTCAGCTTTTGCTTTCTGCAGTCGCCATGCATTGTTTACATGTAAGTTACAGCTTTTGTTTTAATCTAACTGAATTCATTCTGATTGCTGAATCTGAATGTACACGAACGCTAAACAAGTGATCTGTTGATGTGGGTTTTAACATTGCTAAGAAAATTCCCGCTCCTCCGTGAGAGATACAAGACCAGTAACTTACGTCTCAGTTGCCGCTCATCGGTAATCACGCCACTGGCCTCGGGTCGTTCTCCACACAGCTCTCACTCGTCCCCACTCGCCAGAGTAAACATGACTCGCGTCGTTCTCCACACAGCTCTCACTCGTCCCGCTCGCCATAGTAAACATGGTGAATGACGACTGTACAACGCAAAAGCCGAATCCTGGATATTTTGGGTGATCTTAAAATGCATTTTCAGGCAGACGCATCACGGAGACTCACTAGCCTAGACTTGTTGTTTACCTACTGCGCGTTTACCGGTAGGCGTGGCCTCCTAGGGCAGCGAAGCAAGGGCATTCTGGGAGTTGTTGTTTTTCATCCACATAAGCCAAAAATACATTTTCTGTCTTTTCTCAGTCTAGAAAGCTCTAAATTCAAAAATAATTTCACATTTCTTCTACATAAATTACCCATTTTAAATACACATTCATCTTTCCAGAGGTGGAATTACCCTTTAACGAAGGAACCGTATTCTAAAGTGTTACGTTATGTGTGTTTGAATATATGTGCGCAGGTTTGTAATTCCCTACAAACCATGCCTAAACAAGCTACTTGTCTTGCCTATACATTTTGATACAGAATTTCATTTTATTCTATAACTTCAGGGCTGGTACAATGGGAAAACCTCGGGATAAACAAAGACACTAAAATTAGCGTAGATGCCATTTTTCTTATGATGTAACAAGTACATCAGGATTCAAGGGAAGTGTTCCCAGTTCCAACTGACCTAATCTATGCAGCATAACATTGAGTTTTAGAAGTCTATTATGTATTATGTGAATGCAAGGGCAAAGAGATGTGTCTTTAATCGAGTGTGTCTGCTTCCCGGACAATGGTAGGAAGACTATTCCACAGTTTTGGCCAGTTTTTTCCAGCAGTAAATTTTGATATCCCCTAGGTATTATCAACTGGCCAAAATTTTGAGATCGCAACAGACGTGAAGGACTATAAAGCTAAACCATTTAGTGCTTTGTAAGTAATCAGCAATATTTAGAAATTTATACTATGTTTAATAGGCAGCCAATTCAGTGTTGATAGAGCCGGGCTAATATGGTCATACTTCCAGGTTCTGGTAAGAATTCGAGCAGCTGCGTTTTGGACTAGCTGAAGTTTGTTTATTAAGCGCGCAGGGCAACCACCCAGTAGAGAATTACAATATTCTAGCCTTGATGTCATGAACGCATGAACTAATTGTTCTGCATTTGTCAATGAGACCATTTAGCATAATTTAGATATATTTTTAGGATGGAAAAATGTTTTTTTTTAGGACTTTCAAATGAAAGATTGCTATCAAAGATAGCAAAGATAGCTATCAAAGACAGCAATCTTCCCAGGTTCCTCACTGACGACGAAGACTTAACAGAGCAGCCATCAAGCGTTGGACAGTATTCTAGTTTATTAATACTATAACCCCTTGATCTTGTTACATTTGCAATATATTAGTTACTTGGACTATTGTGTTATGTAGGAAGCTGTTCATGAAAACTGTGTTGTTGTTTTTTTTTTTCTTTTTGGGTAGAAGTCATTTGCAGAAAAAGTTATTTTAATGTAATTTTAAACCATTCACACGATAAGAACACTCACATGCTGTTTTCTGTGCTGCGCATCCAAAACGTGCAGTGTTATTTTATATTCTATTACTTTCTGTACATGAATACCTGAAAATCTTATTTCAATTTGTATTCAATTTTATTTATTTGTGGGGTTGCTAATTTGTTTAATTGTTCTTTATAATTAGATTGTCTTTAATTATGCTTGAAATTTATATGAGTTAGGCAAGTTGTTTTTGCTATGGTATTTTTAACCATAGGCAAATGTTTATTTTTGTTGTGTTTTTTGTTTTTTTGTTAAGTGTTCTTTAGTCTGTTGATGTGTGCTCGTGGTATTCAGCTACAATGAAATGTTTTGCAATAAGACTTTGAATAAATGTGAAAATCATCTAAGTTTTTACTGGAATTGAAATTAATAATCGAAATGAATTTGAATCAATTAGGAGACTCAGAATCGTTAACATTCAAACTATACCCAACCCTAGTCGTGGCATCTGTTGCATTGCGTATATACACTGTACATGAATGTGGGGGTGGAGGCATCAAGATAGGAGCGTCATCTTTTTGGGTAGGGGCATATTAGTTTTGGTGATTTCAAATATCAACGCCGTTTACCAGAAATCGCTTACTGCACCTTTAAGTTTCATTGTAATTATTTGTGAAATGTATTAAATTATTTGTGAACCTTTTTGCACCATAGTGTCCATAGCTTTTCATTATGGATGGATGGAATACATGTACTGAGTAAGCAAACTCATAAATCCTGCATTATTTGTGAAGTGAAACATGAGTGAATCTTATCAGATGCTTTGTATAATGCATCAGGGACAGCCACCCCCCTCCTCCCCCTTAATGCAACTGATGTTTCTCATTAAAAAAACAAAAACAAAACCCCATCATTTTAGTAACTAATTGAGATGAAAACTTTCCTTGACTTTTGCTGATAATTTACTCACCTCCATGTCATCCAAGATGTCCACGTCTTTCTGTCTTCAGTCGAAAAGAAATTAAGGTTTTTGATGAAAACATTCCAGGATTTTCTCCATATAATGGACTTCATTGGGAACCAAACGGTTCAAGGTCCAAATGAGAGATTCAGTGCGGCTTCAAAGGGCTTTAAACGACACCAGACGATGAATAAGGGTCTTATCTAGGACCCTTCGAGTCATGACTCGAAAAAAGATTTGTTCATTTTGATGAACGAGTTTGAACAGGAGACTCACGAACGCTCATCACAGAACAGAGCAAGGCGAGCATTTGTGCGTATAAAACTTTAACTTTTTTATTGATTTTTTAAACTATCAATTGTTTCGCTTGATAAGACCCTTATTCATCGTCTGGTGTCGTTTAAAGCCCTTTGAACAGTTTGCACCGAAACTGTCTTTTGGACCTTGAGCCGTTTGGTTCCCAATGAAGTCCATTACATGGAGAAAATCCTGGAATGTTTTTATCAAAAACCTTCATTTCTTTTCGACTGAAGAAAGAAAGACATGGACATCTTGGATGACATGGGGGTGAGTAAATTATCAGCAAAAGTTTTTTTTTTTTTTTTTTAAATGAACTACTCTTTAGACTTTACTGACCATCAATAATTAAATCAGTATTAAGTGATCATATCAAAGCCACTTCAATGTCTGGTATTTCGGAATTGTGGCTTGACTGAGACAAAAAACTGGCACTCTGAAGTGTGTAAAAGTGTAGATATAAGAACATGTCCTTGCAGCATTTTGGCATATTCCCATATGGCTGCATCCACAGACTTAAAAGAGGAAAGTTGTGGGAAGGTTACGGGAAGATTTCAACAGTGGGAGTTGCTCGTGTTGATTTTGCATAGCAATAGGGGAGTTTTACAAGAATGTTGCTTCAGTGTTTTAGGGGAACGTTTGGAAAACCTAAGAGAGCCCTAGTTTTACACTCTCTCCACAGAGTTTCAAATTAATTGGTTGCATAGCACAAGGGGGAGGCTCTAGTGTACTTACAGTGCCACAAGTGCTAACGCTGTTGGACCACTGGGAAACCGTATGCCAAGGTGCTGAACGGTCACAAATGTGCGAGCATCTGGGGAGCGTTTCTTTAATGCTATTATTTCATTAGGGAAGCACTTGTGAAACTGAGCGAGTCCTCTGTTTGGCGAGCGTTTATGGGCGGTTGGAGAAAACAGCATCCTACTTTCAGGGAGAAAAATAAGTTATTTTCAAGGGACGCATGTTTGAAGAGCACAAAAATATCCCGCAGGTTGATTGCACCTTTTGTCTGTTAATGACTTATTGCACTGTTCTCAATCTTTAGCACGCATGAATTCAACGTGATTGTAATACATGTGAGATCCAATTAATTATTGCACCGAGGATTATTTTAATTTATGGTTATTCAACAATAGTTTTTTTTGCAGATGGTGGTATCTAAAGTGAGACATAAAAACGTTATTTTTAAAACATTTGTGGGTGCCATTTAAAACCTTTTTGCAGCATTCTCTCTTTGATATCTATTTGTGAACAGTTGGATTGTGGGTGAATTACACTGTGTTCTCTTTGGGCTGATCGTCGTTGTTGTTGTTGCCAGGCGAATGTTTGTTGCTGCGCTCAGTCCCGCCCTTCGATGTCTCCTGCAGGAAGAGGCGTGGCTTACAAAGCGACAGAAGTATTCTGCGGTATTCTCTGCGGAAGTTCTGATTGAGCAGCCCGTACACTACGGCGTTCAGGCAGGAGTTAAAGTACGCCATGAAATAACTAACCACAAACAGCCAATCAGGGACCAAGGGCGCAACATTGGGCGGGTCCATCGCCACAGCCAGGCCAATCAAATTCAGCGGCGCCCAGCAGACGGCAAACAGCACGAAGACGACGAACATGGTCAAGAAGTGGCGCAATTCGTTCGGCCGGAGGCGTGGCCTGACGTCGGTTGTGACTCGCCTCCTCACACGGAGCACCAGCACCCAAATCCTCAGATAACAGAACGTAACTACCGCGATAGGAAGCAGGAAATGCACGGTCACTACGGCGATGGTGTATCCCGCGCTTGTCGTCTGACTGAAGGTGCACGAATAAACGCGGGGGTCGTACGTCAACGACCCCAGCGCCAGGTTTGGAAGAATGGCAAGGGCGGTGAGTACCCAGACTAACACCAGCAGCGCTAGGGTTCCGGCACGCCCGTAGATTTTCTCGTAGGTGTTTGTCTGACAGATGAAACAGTAGCGGTTGATGGCGATGGCGGTGATGTTGAAGATGGAGCCGATGACGCTCGCTCCCATCAGGAAGCCGCTGACCTTACACTCCATTTCCCCCGGCAACCAGTCTGCGTGCAGCATGGCGTGCAAGACCAGAGGGTAGGGATAGCAAACCACCAGAAGGTCGGCGAAAGCCAGACTCACTACAAACGCATTACCTACAGGACACACACAGAGAGAAGGAATTCAAATGCAAGGCTTCATGTTGTGGCATTAGAGCAAAGTCAATTATTTTTTGCTTCATTCACATCATGTTTGGATTGCAATAGTTACTAGTTTCTAAATCTTTACTGAACTCCAAATTACAGGGAAATTTGACACATTTTTTATAGCTTTATCATCACTGACTTGACCGTGATGTCATATGCAAACCAGCAAATTAGGAAACGTGCCAAGTCTACACTAATCTACACTATCTTTCGAAAGTTTGGGGTCGGTAAGATTTTTAAAATGAAGTCTGCATTTATTTGAAAATACAGTAAAAAACGTAATATAGTGAAATATCAATACAATTGGAAATAAACAGAGGAATTCCAATAGGGTTCTCACACCATTATGGGCCCTAATAACATTTTCTGTAGTTATAAACTGTTCTGATATAAACTGAATTCTGAATTCTCAGCATCATTACTCAAGTGTTAGTGTCACATGATTCTTCAGAAATCATTCTGATATGATGTAAAAGAAACTTTTCACTGTTGAAAACAGTTAAAACTTTTTTTCACTGTTAAAACCATGATAATACAATTATTTTAAAAATACTTTAAAGAAAAAAAAAATAAATCTTTTAGCAAAATATTTACCAAAATGACATTTCAACTTTTTTCCTTAAAAAAAAAAAAAACTCAAGCCGTCTGCTGGAAGCCAGTTATTTTAGTCAATAAAGTTTTAAATTTGGATATTTTTCTTACACAAATGGATCGCTTTGCTTCAGAAAGCCTGTATTAATCCACTGGAGCCGTGTCGAGCACTTTTATGATGGATAGATGCACTTTTATGGACTTTTACGGACATAAGGCCCATTCACACCAAGCACAATAATAACTATAAAGATAACAATAAAGATAACCGTATATATGTCCACACCAACGACCGTTAACGGTCTTTTTATTCTAAGCACGCGGCGCACTGGCGTTTTTAAAGTAGCGAAAATGGATGACCTGCTGCTGCTTTACGTTACAAACAAGTATCAAAAGAAAAACAGGCGCTTTTAGGTACAAGACATCCTAAAAGACAAGAGGAGTTAAACAGTGAATATAGCAAGTCTAATAGTGAATTTAGCTGATGAAGTCAGTGATGGGATAAAAACATCACCCAGTCAACGCCTTTTTTCACTGCAACTTCAGCAATGTTGTCAACTAACGCTGGAGAGTCTACCTGAGGTAATTTTGTTACAGCATGCTAAACTGCATAATATCTCATCGTGAATACTTCTCACCGTTTATCCCCAGGATACCACCGATTGCTTTCCACATATCCATCTTTTTTAATGTATCCTTGAAAAGGGGCTTTGACTTGTCAAACAGTGCCATTTTAAATGCGCGGGACCTTTAAATTAGAATGGATTCTGATTGGTTGTCAGAGTTTTATAGTTGGACAGCTGGAAAAAAAATCGTTCTGAAAGTGATCCAAGCGATATCGTTCCTCATATTTTATCGTTATAGTTGTGGCGTGAACTCTGTTATTCTTTAATATGGAGAACGATTTTTAGAATTATATCTTTATAGTTATCGTGCTTGGTGTGAACGGGCCTTTATGGACTATGAAACGGCCATTCTGCCATTATAAAGCTTGGAAGAGCCAGGACTTTTTTTATTTTAATATAGCTCTGATTGTATTTGTCTAAAATAAGAATTTCATATAAACCTACTGTAGGATGGCGAGGGTGAGTAAATCATGGGGTAATTTTCATTTTTGGTTGAACTATACCTTTAAAGTCCCCCTGTGGTGAAAATCAAGTTTTTAATTTTGTTTATGGGTATTTTCTCTTTAAAACTGCAGTAATCTAACGACAGTTTCAAAAATGTGTCTCAAGTCTCAAGAGATGCCAGGCTCTCCCAGTATATTTCTGTGTATGGTGTATGTTACAATTTTATGATGAACTATATACTGTACACATTTATCCACTGACGAGATTTTTTCTAAAGGATACTGAGGGAGTGGTCTAACAAACATGCTATGTGTAACATTAGCAACACATTATTAGCTGGTTGATAACATAGTCAATAGGCTAATCATATTAATTACTGCCATGTGTCCAACGTCAAGAGCGATACAATTGTGCATCGATTACCTCGGTAAGTTGGCCGATTAAATCTCTGAGCTGGTGTGACCACAATGACAAAAAAGCAACATTACAGGGGGACTAGTATTTTCCCGTTTCATATTTCCCAGTAAAGCAAGCCATGGATCTGTATTATTAGAATCCCTTAGTAATCCCACCTTGCAATTATGACAAAACATGTTCTTTTTTAAATATATACATTTACACCGTATCCTACGCAACAAGTTTCCACTGTCACGCAATTTGTCTCTCCCCACTAAGAGAGAAATGCTGTTTATATACAGCTGTATAGACCAGGATTTTAAACCAATGAGAGTTAACTGTGGGCAGCGCTTCTCAGTGTGACAACACATGGTCAGAATAATGATTTATGGAAGAGATGATGCCTGACACTGTATCACATCACATCTGGTTAGGACACAGCCTTACGATAAACACGTCACTGCTTTTGGACAACAAATTGCACATTTCATTTTTGTTAATTGTAATATAAGATTCATGAGGACCTTCAGATCCATTCAATTATGACATCTGCCACTAGAAAATCAAAGTGGTTGCACTTTATTTTCGAGTATGTGACGTGCACTTACATGAACCTAAGAAAGTAACTATAAGTAGTACATAGTATGCACATGGGGAACAGGACCGTAAAATAAAGTGCTACCAAAAATGTTCTTCTGTAGAAACACACAAACACAAGGAAGGTCAAGCAGGAAAGGAAACTTGACAACAGCACCTGATCTGTGGTTGACATATTGCGTGACTGGGAGTGTAGGAGCATTTGTGAGTGTGTGAGTGTGTAGGACAGGCTCAGGTGCTCTAGTATTTTAACAGTGAGGTTCAGACAAAGTTCAGATCCATTAGATTAAGTGCGGTGTCTGTGACACCGAGTTCTCCTCTACAGTATACTGAATGTGTGCATGTTTGCTTGGTTTGCTAGTCAGTCTCTTGCATTCATGTGTTGGGTGAAGTGGAGACTGTTCAGATCAAGTTGTATTACACTACAGCACAGATGGAGTTCAGATATAGTTCAACACAGAAGTCTACACACACACACACACAATTGTATACCTTAACCAATGGGTTACAGATCTCAAATAGGTTTTGTAATGGATAAGTAGTTTCAGTGCATATCGATCGAATGCATTTGGGAATACCTCATCAAAATGACTTATGCTCCATTCACACTGATTTTATCGATGGAGGTCGCTAGTAGCCATTCCTCTTGCTATAATACGCTGGTATAAATATTGCAGCTGTGCATTATTTCTTGAACTAGATAAATGGCTATCAATGCATGAATCAAACATTTTTAGAACAGTTTCTGACACATTTAACCTTTGCATCACAGGACACACCCACATTGCATCACAAATGGTCACTGTCTCTTATGTCACCAGCAATCAAATAAAAATGAATGAATTACAGATGTCAACTTTCAAGCTGCCCATTTCTTTTTATCTCTATCCCTTTCCTCTTCCATTTTGCCGTCCTCATCTGGATCCGTCAATGTCTGCTATCTTTCGCCGGCCCTGTGCCAATATCTCTCAGCGTATCTGATTTCCAATCCATCTTTTTTCTTCTCACTTATTACAACTCAATTCGCCTTCGATCTCTTTCGTCCTTTCTCACAAGAAGATTAAGAGGCAAGAGGAAGAACCAGCTGGACTTGTATATGTTTTAATTGGAATGTCGAAATTCTGAGAGAAAAATTTGGACTAATCTCTTGTCTGGAAGCTAGGCCAGAATGAATGTTCTTGAACCTGAAAACAGAGTTTAGCTCAACAGATGCCTAAGCAAAGAAACGAATAAAAATCGGCATTAGTAGAACAATCACACACACACACACACACACACAATTGTGCTCATTTTTTCTCTGAACTTGCCACATGCGGACGAGGCTGTGAGGAATACGTTTTCGGAAGATGAATATTGTGCCAGCTATGCAGATGCTTCCTGTGAGATTTTGGGCTTTGACATTTGGAGCAATATAAAGTTTGTTAACTAAACAGATGAACGTGTGAACTGCTGCCTTCACAGAATCAAAACGCACATTGGTCACCAAGTATTTACATGCTTTTCATTTATACCCCTTCATCCAATGTTGTGCCAACCAAAACCATTACATTTCATAGAATACTTTTAAAATGTATTTTATAGGGAATGCACAATCTGATTCAAATTCAAAGCTAAGTTGCTTTGGATAAAAGTATGCCAAATGCATAAATGTCATGTGAATTGCTTTCTGTCATTTGAGAGACATCTGGTATCTGGTCTATACTGCGTTTCCCTACTTTAGAAACATCTCCAGTAAAGAATGCTAACAGGCATAAGAAGTGAAAACAAGGGGAGAAAATCAAGTTTTAAAGCACTCCATGAAACAGGAAGAGATTCAGTGAACTCCAGTGAAAAAAAAAATCGTTGGATTCTCTTTAAATTAAATTGGATGACCAGATCTGTACTGTCTGCTGTGGGGTATTTTTTACATTGCGATATCAGAATAAAATGAAAAAGCAAAAGGCCCAGAACTACAACTACAGCTGTTACAACAGAAGCTCATGAGATAACATCACTTTAAACACGATCCCACACGATCCCCTTTTTATAATAAACAGATTGAATTTAAGCTTTTATTCACATATAAAAATAGATCAGCGACTATAAACAATAGTCAAGTCAAGTCAAATATATTTATATAGCGCTTTTCACAATACAGATTGTATCAAAGCTGCTTCACAGTATCAATCAAGACAACATAACAGTGTTTGTTTATTCATGAAAAACAGGCAATCAACTTTGGTAGAGCTGATCAATGTTATGATGGGTCATTTAATTTGAATATCCGCAACTGAGCAAGCCAAAGGCAACAGTGGC